TCCCCTAAGCCTGCTTTTCCAGAAGGGCATCTTCACTCCTTCCACTCCTGAAGTTCTGAGGCCACTGACTCCCTGAGAGCTCGTAGGGTAGGCTCACAGTGCAAATGCACAGTGTGGACACTAAGGACTTATGGATCGGCTTCCCCTCCCGCCTGCTCTCCCCGTGGCTGCTGTTCCCTCTGCCGCTCCCCACAGCCTCAAGAGCCTGCTCTCAGCCGCAACTGCCCTAATGCTCCTGCTTCAACCCTCACACGCTGGCCCATCTCCTGCAGGATTCCGTAGTGGGGTGGTGGGGTGTAAATAAATTAATACAGGATAAGGCATGAAAAACTCCCAAACCAGGGGCCTCTGGCCTGTCCCCTCTGGACTCCGTGCCCCAGGCATGCAGACCGGCTGGCTGTTTCTTGAACACCACACCATACTTTTTCCCTCCCTTGCTGCCTCTGCAAACCTGTCCTGTCTGCAGAGAAAGTCTCCGGGAGCCCCACGCCTGGCATCCACATTCAACTAAGAAATAAATGGTAGAGGAAATTCGGTAGTCCGAGCTAGCCATAGGGTGCTCAGGAGCAAGGACTGTCTGATTTGTAGGAGGTCTTCCTCCGGGCAGAGAGCAGAAGCTCAGTGACCAAGGACAGAATGGAAGGGCGCGGAATGAGCCATCTCTCTGCCGCCTGAGGAGGTGGTCTTTCCATCTCTCTCCTGACCCCTGAAGAAAGGGGTCTTGAGGAGTCTTCCCCAGGCTCTAACCTTTGCCCCGGTTTTCTTAAAATCTGGGCTTTATTCCCACCATTCCCAGTCCCGCTCTGGCACCTCCTACAGGCTGATCCGTTCAACTTCGGGGTCCAGAGCGCCCGCGTGGCCCCTCCTCTGCCTCCTCCCTGCCTTCCACTGTGCTACATGCAACTGGGCCACACAGTAGGAGCTAAATAAATGTATCTGGAGCAAATGCGACTTTCCCCGGCCACTAGCACCCACACAGATACCCTCCTTTTCAGAATTCCTGGAGCTCTTCGGTGCAAAGTCCTACTTAAGCCTCCAGGCCCCCACCAGGCACTCATTCCAGCAACTAGTTAATTACCACCACGCCCGGAGAAGTGACAAATCCAGATCCCTGGGCCCCCATCTCAAACCTACTGAATCAGATCACTTGCAGGAAGCGGCGGAAATGTGTCCTTCCGCAAGTCCCCCAGGTGGGTGTTAGCACCAGCAGGGACTGGCCACCCCGAGGAAGAGGCAGAAGGGCAAAGGAGCCCAGGAGCGAGCTTCCCTGTCTCCAAAATGGCTACAATTGCTCTCCACCTGTCTCACAAAATCCCAGGGCCGCTGCCAGGATCTCGTCACCGGACACAGAGGAAGGACGACGAACGCAAGCCCCAGGCGGGCGTGCGAGGGAGAGTCACTGCTGAGGCGGGCACCCCCTGCCCGGTCCCTCCGAGCCCCCACCCGGCACGCTCTGCCCCCAGCTCAGGGGCATCGTCCCTCTCTAGCCTCAGCTTGAACCCACCAGGAAAACCTGCACCTGGGGACCGACCTCAGTCCCAGAGCCCTACGGAGCCCCACACCCTGGTGCCGGGCCAGCAGAGCCTGAGGAAGCCCTCAAAGAGTGAGGTGTCACTGGAATGCTCAGAGGCACTCCATTGTTTAAAAAAAAAAAAAAAAAATGTTGGAGGAAAACAAAGGGGACAGCAACAAGTCACCAGCTGACTAAGCCCAGTTCCTGCCCAAGGAGTAGCCAGACGGCACATCTGAGACCACGGTGAGCTTCCCGGGCCTGCCCGTGGGCCTGCAGGGCCCACCCCTGCTCAGACTCCGCTGGGGCAGACCTCCCCGGATTCACGTCTATTCAGAGACCAGCCTGCCTTGCCAGGCCACTTGCTGGGACCCCGAGGCTGCTTCTCCCAGCAGCTCATCCTGGCTCCTGGCTCACTTGGCCCGGTGTCTGCAGGTTCCACGTGCCCAGGCTGTCCCCAAGCCCAGTTCCTCTGCAGCCCTCTTTCTAGGACACAGCCAGGAGACCCGAGCAAGTTTCAAGAGCTCCTTTCCCTACAGACTCCTACCCTGAGGCCCCGCACGATCCTCTTTTCTCCAAGCCTCAGTTTCCCCACCAGGGAGGGGATACTGGCTCAGAGGCTCTGCCCGTGGTTAAGTCTTCTATTCCTCCATCCACCTCCCAGTTACACTTCTTTCATTCCTCAAAACTGCAGGCTGGACACCTTTTCTCCTTCCTTGGCCTTTGGTGGAAAAGGAACTTTTCAGAAACAATCTATCTCCCCTCAAACCCTGTCCTGAAACAGGAAGGCTGAATGTTCCTCTGCTTCCTCCCGCCCTGGCCACAGGGTTAGAGGTGACTGAAGGAAGCAGGGAGAAGACAGGACGGCAAGGTGCCATCATGCTCCCTTAGTCCCACATGGATTCTGACTGCGTCTCCTAGGTCACCTTCAGAGCTGGGACAAATAAATCCTTCACCGAAGCATTACCGGCATGATGCGGAAGCTTATTATACACTAGGAAAATGTCATCCCTTCCCGCTAAGAAGCTCGGCCCTAGTAAACACAGACGGGCCTCCCCGGCTACGGATATGTTATGTAACCCGCGAACCCAGGTCTGCTGGGCCCTGGCAGGGGGGCTCGGTCAGGCTCACAGGGAGTAGGGAAACGCCCCAGGAAGCTGCTCCCCTCCCTCCCCCAGGAAAGAAGGTGGGGACGCTGCTTTACAAGGCAGCAGCAATATGGTTTGGCAGATGGAGGGCCTCTACCGCAGGAAGGGTATAGGGCAGAAATTGGAGAAGGAGTTTTCTGGGTTGTTGTGTGGTTTTTTTTGTTTTTTGGGTTTTTTTTTTTTGCTGCCTGCCTAGAGCTGGGTGACAAAAGTGGGGAAACAGGGGGTGAGGTGGGTACTAAAGATGGATTCCAGGAGAGAGGCTGGGAGAAAAGGGGGGAGCAGGAAGAAAGAGGTGGGAGGCCCTGCCAAGAAAGAGCAGGGAAGCAGGGATCAGGAGAACTGAGAACGGATGTGTGAGGAGCAGCTGGGCCTGGTGACAATGAGACATCGGGTCCCAGGATTCACGATGGTGATACCAAGCTTCCAGGCTAAGCAGACAGAACATGAGGTAATTCCAAACCGCAATGGGGAAGTTGATCACGGGGGAGGGCTCTAAGAGGGGAAATTCTGCCTGTCATGTTGAATTCAAGACAGGGATGAAAACTCAGTACTTCCCAGGAACCATGGCCTTCATGTCAGGGAAGATGCCCAGCCAGACGCCTCCTGAGCTGGAGTGTGTGTTGTGGGGGAGGGGAGGGGGGTCACAGGTCAGTGTTCAGGAAGTTGGAGCTGGATGGGAATCCAGCTGACTCCTGCCCCTCCCTGCTCAGGGAAGTGCTCTGCGGCAGATGTCTTTCTTCCCTCAGGCAGATGTCTTTCTTCCCTCAGCTCCTTCCGTGGCTACCCCACTGAGTCTCTTCACCAAAACGAGCTGGGGGTATCTTAGAGCCGATGGGGAACTTCTATGTCCTCGGAAGGACAGTGAAGTTATGAGGAATGGCCACTCTCCCTGCCCCACCCGCTTCAGATCTAGGAGAAAAATCTGGTCATCTTCTCTCTTTGGGGCCCTGGGCTCACACAAATGCCATCTCCTGGTCCCCAGCCACAACAACAGTGATTCAGGCCATTTACTCAGATCCATGTTAATGAGTTTCTCCTATCGCCTAATTAGTTCACAGAGAACTCAGCCTTGAGAGGGAAGAGGTAAGAAAGGACTGGGGAAAGGACAGAGGAAGTCGGATTGGAACATTCCGAAAACAGGGCAGGACCCCAGCTCTAAATGGGGTCTTCTACTCCCAAAATACTGAATGCTCCTTCCCCAGCTGGCGGGACCTCCAAAAGCAGAAAGGAGTGTTCAGGTGAGGGAGCCCCTAGAGCCTTACACAAGATGAGAATGTGGCCCTAGCCTGTGAGACCCAAGAAGTGGACGGGCCCCTGCCCACAACTCCATGTCATCACCAAAAAAACCCTGCAATTCCCCCTGCATTTCCACTAAAGCTGAACCCACCACCTGCTGGTGGGCGTCCCCCTTCAAATGGAGCCAGAGAGGAAGCAGATGACCCAGGGTGAGGCCCATCTGCCCCTCGGCCGCTCAAAGGTCACGGTGCCACCAGGCTGTCTGTGGGTGGGGTGGACCCCCACCACATCAGGGGTCGTGGGGTATGTGCCAGCAACGTGCACCCATTTCCTCTGCCCCGCCTTGGCAGCCAAAGTCCTGGGCCCAAGAGCCTAGAGAAAGGAGCGCCGGGCAGGGCAGTTGCGCGGGGTTCTGGCATTTGACGCCCAGCACCGTGTCCATGGAGGTCAGTCAGCGCCCCGCAGTCCCGCGCCCGCCTCCCGAGCGGTTCCCGGGTGCGCGTGGGACCCGGCGAAGGCGCGGATGTACCGGCCGGCGCCTCCCACGCGGTCGCGCCGCCGGAGCCCCGCGCCAGGCCCGGCCTGCGCCCGCCTGGCAGCGGCAGCGTAGGGGGTGTGCGTCGGGAAAGGGAGCCGCGGCGAGCGCCACCCTCCGGGGCCCGCGGGCGCTGGGCCCGGGAAGGCTGCCATCCTCTAACGGGAGGCTCGATCCCCCGCCCCGCCGCGGGGCAGGGCCGGGGCAGCGGCCCCACCTCCCGGCCCGCCGAGGCCCTCCGCTGCGCCCACCTCCCCTCGCCATGCCTGGCCAGCTTTGGCCCTAGCACCCCGGACCTCTGCGGCTCTGAGCGCACCTGTCCCGGGAGCGACACGACCCTCGCGCCCTGGAGCACTAAGATCAGAAAACGTGTCCCCTGGCACGGGACCGGCCCCGAGCCCCAGTGTCCCCGGACGAGATATAGAGAAGCCTGGACGACCGCTCTGCAGCGCCGACGATCAGCACACCGCGTGGCCGGGACCTCAGGCGCGCGAGGACCCCAGACGGAGAGAGCGTGGCCGAGCCGGGCCACCGCGCCCCATCTCCCGCAGACCCCGGCTCCGCTCACCCTCGATGGAGATGACGTGCTCCCGGATCTGGTTCTGCAGCGCCAAGTCCTCGATGCGCTCGATCAGGTCGTAGATGGCGTAGATATTGGGATGCACGGATTCGAAGCGTTGGATCTCGGCCCGGATGGCTGCCGAGTTGGAGAGCGCGAATTGCTGGGGGGGCCCGCCGGCCAGCTGCTGCGAGGGGCCGCCGCCGCCCCCGGCCCCCGGCCCCGCGCCGCCGAACTGCCCGCCGCCCCCCGCGCCGCCGCCGCCACCGCCGCCGCCCCCCGGCGCCGCCAGGCTCGGCTGCTGCTGCGGGCTCTGCCCCCCGCCCGCCTGGAAGTTCATGGCTCTGGAGCCGCGGGGCCCGAGGCGGGCCCGGCCGGGGCCCGGGGCGGCGCTGCGGCGGCGGCAGTGGCGGGCGGGCGCGCGGGGCTGGCGGGGCCGGGACTACGGAGCCGGCGGCGCGGGGCTAGCGCATGAGGCCGGGGGCCGGGGGCCGAGGCCGGGAGGCGCCGCCGCGCACGCTGTGGCCGCCGCTGCAGGGCGCTTCTCGGCGCCGCGATCCCGCCACCTCGGAGCAGCCTCCAGCGGCAACAACAACGGGACCGGGAGCGCGCGGCCCGGGCCCTCCCCCCGCGTCATGCGCACGCACCGCCGCCCCCGCCAGCTCCGGCACACGCAGCCCGAGCCCCCCTCCCCGCCGCCCCCGCCCCTCCTGCGCGCCGGCCCCAGCGCCCCCGCCCCTCGCCTGCTAGCTGGCTCGGCAGCCTCCACCCCCGAGCCGCGCGCTCCAGCCCCGGCGCCCGGGCCCCTCCCACCCAGCCTTGGCCCTTCCGCCTGCTCTCCAGCCTCCACCCACACCCGCCTTGAGGGCCACCGGCTCCAGGTGGACAGCTGCGCCGGCCTCCTCCCGGCCCCGGCGGTCTGTCTCGCCTCCCTGCTCTGGTCTGGGCGGGGTGTCCGATCTTTGGGCACTGCCCGAGCAGTGCCCTGCGCCTGAGGGTGCTGATGAACGCGGCGGATTGGCCGAGAAGGGCCGCTAGCCCAGGCACAGCTGCGTCTCACTTAACATGGTCCTGCCTTCAGTGCTGCACAGGCTCCCCTGTTCCCGCCCGAGATCATCCCTGGAGACCACCCTGTCCCCAGGGTTCTCTCTCTGGCCGTCCCCTGGACTCGCCACTGCGAGCTGCAGCACAGAGCCTGGAAATCTGGGTTCCCGGCTTCTATTTCCTGTTCTCCCTGAGAGCTTCACCAACAAGGCCCTTGGAAATGGCCCTTTAAACAACAGCCCCTCGCTCATCTTCAGGCTTCTCCTAAAAGACTCCCCTGTGGGACTGGGATGGTTCACTGTCTGCCACCGCCTCGGACCTGCTGGTACATAGGCAAAGAAGAGAGAGGGATCCAATATGCCTTCTATCCCCACTCACCCCATTTAAGAGATTCACCAGAACCCACATGGCTCTTTTCATTGTCCTCAACCCCTTGCCCATCTTGTGTTCCTGTCCACTCCTTCGGGGGCCAGGGAACTGCCTTCCATGTTTCAGTTCCTATGCACCCCCATTGCCAAAGCTGTCTACAGTCCTGCTAGTCAGCCCTCATCCCCAACCTTTGCAAAAATGCCTAAGAGAGGGCATGTGCAGGGCACTGGCCCCAGCCAGTCAGCCTCTTAGGGCTGTGCCCAGATGTCCTCTGGCACAATTGACATATGCTGGTCTTTTTACACACACTTCCACTTCCCAAGCCAGGCTGAGTCTTTTCCCTGCAAAGAGTTGCCCCCATCTGGCTACTCACACAACTCTGCCCCGGTACCAACGCAGTCACCCAAGTGTCCTGTACTGTCCAAAGAACCCAGGTGCAAGGTACTCAACAGCTGGGGCGTCCCCAGCTCTTGAGAGATTCAGGTTCTATCTACATGTCCGACCTTACTGATGTCTTGTACCTTCTCTGTGCTTCACCTGCAAAGTAGTGGTTGAGCAGAACACCTACCTAGCTCTGATGCTGTGTAATTCGGAAAGCAACAGCGAACATCTCTTTTAGACACTTAACTAGAACTGACACCAAGAATTTGCACCAGGTAGCTCCCAGGAGAAATGCTGAGGGTAAAGAGCTTCTCATATGTGTTGCCCCAGCAGGCGGCACAGATCTGTGTTAGGACCGGTGGGCTTGTCTGTCCCCTATCATTGTATGAGCCATGTGAGGGCAGGGATAAGTTCACCTGTATGATTCACCATTGTATTCCCAGCATCTTGCACAGTGCCTGACATCTAGTATACATTTAATAAATGTTTCTAGAATGAACGAATGAATGGGAAGGAAGGAACTAGGGAGAAGTTAGGTCTGTATGTTACATATCGAAACTGACCTTCCCAAGGCAGTACCTGCTCCCACTTGCGGTACATGATCCCACAAGTAAGTATGAACTATGGAAACACTAGGGTGCGTTACTTTTCACCAAGACTGGTCTATAAAACCCAGGACGTGAGATCTCTGTGGCCCAGAGGAAGGAGGGAAAAGCTCACAGCAATTAGCTGGCCCAAGCCAGGCTGGGGCTCAAAGTCCTCTACACTGTAACACTCTAAGGACCCAGTTTCCAGGCCCAGATCTGGGTGGAGAGTGTACTCTAGTGTACCCTAGTGTAATACTAGGTGAACAGATACCTACTGTATAACAGGTCCCTGACATAGTTCTCACACTTGTTTAATAAAACACTTAATTTCTTCCTTACAATTTCCTTATGAATTATGTTTTAGGAACAAAGCAATTCAGATTCAACGAGATTCAATAGCGCACCCAAGGATATACAGTTAATAAACACGGGGTAAGAGATCAGCATTTGTCCAGGTTCCAAGGTCTATGCTTCTCGCATAGTCTTACAGGGGCAACGTGGAGGAAGGGACCAGGGAGACAGGACAGCCCAAGCCACGGTGGCCAGCCCTGCCTGGGGAAGAATGTCCTCCGCCAAGCTGTTGGGACAGCCCATGGGTACCGGGCTGGGAGCCAAAGAGTCAATTTAGGGGGCCAACAGTGCCTTTTGGCGTCCACTCTGACATAAGAACAGAACGGGGTAGGGGTCACCTGAGCTCCCCAGAGCCTGCATCTGGAAACTCGGGTGCTCTGACGTGTTCTCAGTGACGTCGGTTTTTGGAGTGACAGATGCCCTGGATGCCAGCGGCGGAGGTGGCGGTCCTGCTGTTGCCCGAACCTCAGGAGGCTGGCACAACCCTTAAGCCCGCCCCCGCGGGCCCCTCAGCGACTTGCGGTCACCAGGACTAGCCTGCGGATCCCGGCACGCGGGTCAGCAGGGCGGAGGGCGGGAAATGCGCACCGCGCAGGACTACAAGTCCCACAATACTCCGGGCGGCGGCGGCAGGGAAGGAGGGGGTGCCTTCAGGTGTCCGCGACCTCGGCGCCTCCCGCCCGGAAGTGCCCGAGGGTCCGCTATGGAGGTGGCGGAGCCGGGCGGTGAGTTCCCGCGCGGTGACCGCGCCCACCCCACCGCCCCGGGCCCCAGCTGGCTCCCGCTCGCCCCGCCCCGGGTTCGCCCGTGCCCTCCCGTGGCTCCGGGGGGCGGGAAGATGGGAGGGGTGATGGAGGAGTTGGGGGTGGGGAGGGCGAAGTCTCGGATTCCCCGGGCGGGATCTCGGGTCCGCCTGCGGACTGGGTTTGAAGAGGCTTCCAGAGGAAGCGCCGAATCGGGCCGCCGCGGGGTGGGGCTTGAGTAGACCGGAGGGGCCAAGTTGGGTGAGGGGGATGGCAGCCCTCGGAAGCTCCGAATTGCCAGAGGGCGGAGATTGACCTGTGGTGTGGGGAAGCCTTGGGAAGCAGTCCCCTGCCGCGGGTGGGGTTTGGTTAAATAACGGGGCTGGGGGTTGGGGGGGCATAGAACCCCATTTTCTTCCCCCTTGCAGAAACTTTCATGATGGAGGAGTAGATAAGCTTTGGGGTGAAATAGACGAAGGAGAATGTAAACTTTGAGATAGTAGATGGAAGATTAGTTAGGTAAGCTTTGGGGTGAAGTTTGCTGAGGGTTGAATATAGGGGAGAGGTTGCTTAGAAGATCAAGGCCCTTACATAGAGATAGTGTGTGAATGAATTGGGGAGATGGTTAAAGACCTAGAACTCAGGTTACAAAAAGTTAGGACTTGGGATTTGGTTATGGGAAAGGGCACTGGAGGGAAGTTTGGGACAACCAGGTTTCAGAACAGTATGTGCCCTAGGGTGGAGCTTGAGTAAGGGGGCAGAGGAATCAGGACTGGGAGGGTTTGGTGGGGTGGAGTCAGGAGCGCACTGGAGTTCAGGGGGCTGTTGGCCAGCGAGCCAGCCCCTCATGGGTTCTTTGTGCCTCTCCAGCTCAGTAAGGTGGCAGGCAAGGCAGGTGCCATGGCCTTGATTGAAGGGGTGGGTGATGAGGTGACCGTCCTTTTCGCGGTGCTTGCCTGCCTTCTGGTGCTGGCTCTCGCCTGGGTCTCAACACACACTGCGGAGGGTGCCGACCCACTGCCCCAGCCATCAGGGACTCCAACACCAGCACAGCCCAGTGAAGCCATGGCGGTCACCGGCAGCATCAGAGGGGAGGCCCCAGGAGCCGAGACCCCCAGCTTGAGACACAGAGGTCAGGCTGCAGAGCCAGAGCCTGGCATGGGGCTCTCAGCAACGTCGCCATTGCCAGACTCCCCCCAGGAGCCCCTAGTGCTGCGGCTGAAATTCCTCAACGATTCGGAGCAGGTGGCCAGGGCCTGGCCCCACGATACCATTGGCTCCCTGAAAAGGTAAGCTGGGATGCGGACAGGAAAGAAATTCTGAAGTTGGGGTGGAAGTGATTACAGACCCGGAAGCGCCGCCAGAGAGATCTGAGACTTCCCCGTCCTTCTACAGACGAGGGAACTGCGGTCCCCACATCACACACTGTATCATTCCCCTATAGCAGGAGGGGACCCCCTTAGAGGCCACCACGTGGGTGGGGGTGGAGCCAAAGGTGAGCGGTGGGAGTGTTGTGCTGGGCAGGGGGCCAGGACTGCCTGAGGCCTGCCCTCTTACCCAGGTCCCTCTCTCCTCAGGACCCAGTTTCCCGGCCGGGAACAGCAGGTGCGGCTCATCTACCGAGGGCAGCTGCTAGGAGACGACACCCAGACCCTGGGCAGCCTTCACCTCCCGCCCAGCTGCGTCCTCCACTGCCACGTGTCCACGCGCGCCGGGCCCCCACCGCCCCCCTGTCCGCCGGGGTCCGAGCCAGGCCCCTCGGGGCTGGAAGTGGGCGGCCTGCTGCTGCCCCTGCTGCTGCTGCTGCTGCTGCTGCTCTGGTACTGCCAGATCCAGTACCGGCCCTTCTTCCCCCTGACGGCCACCCTGGGCCTGGCCGGCTTCACCCTGCTCCTCAGCCTCCTGGCCTTTGCCATGTACCGCCCGTAGTGCCTCCGCGGGCGCTCGGGGGCGTTGCCGGCCCCTCCGGACCTCGCTCCCCACGACACAGTGGGCGTTGCTGTCTGCCCGGGCCCGCCTCTCCGGCCTGCCTCTTCCCGCTGGCCTGGAGCCCGGCCCTGCGCAGCAGAGCGCTCCGCCAGTCGGCCGACGCCCCTCCCTGTGACCGCCGTGGCTCCGGGCCACGTCCCCGGGCTGCGGGCTCTCAGCCCCCACTGACAGTCGGCTCCTCAGGGTCAGGCAGCTGCTGTCACTGCCTCGGCCCCGGGCAGAGCCGGCCCACACCCTGGGCCCCTCTGAGTATCCCGCCTGAGGACCCAGCCGCCTCTAGTCCCTAAAGCTCCTGGGGCTGATTTGAGGACCTAAGGACTGCGGGGCGCTGGGGAAGGGGAGCTGCGAGGGGCAGGGGGATTGTGTGGAACACGTGCAGATTAAATAACTGTGAAGTTTTCACTCCTGGTGTGTGTCTGGGTGCGTGGGCCCGTGGGGGTGCTGGGCGGGGAGCCCCTGTCCCCTGGGAAGAAAGGCGAGAAAGGCGCGGACCGGGCCCCGCCGGGCGCCCGACCTTACGCGACGGGCGGCCGACTTCCGCTCTCTCTTCGCCCCAGCCTCCGCGCCTGGCCCTTTGGCTCCGCCCCTCCGCCCCCGGCACCGCCCCGGCTCGGCGCGCGCAGCTTCCCGGAAGCGGGGGGCGGGGCGCGCGACGCCGGGGCGCGCGGGGCCTGATGGGAGCCACGTCTGTGCTGGTCGGGGGCTGAGCCGCGATTGGCGTCCGCAGCGCGGTTCGGGGGTTGCTGGGAAGATGGCGGACTCGGTGGCCTGCCGATGAGGAGGCCGCGGGGGGAGCCCAGCTCCCGGGCCCCGAGACCGACTGAGGGAGCGACCGGCGCGGGGCCTGGGGAGCCATGTAGGGGTGGCGCCTACGGGACGGGCTGCGGGAGGGCGGCGGGAGTTGGTGTTGGCGACCGTGACCACGGTCTCCTGGCGTTGCCGGGCCCGGGTGGGTGTGGGGGCCCCTGACACCGCCGACTCCGCGCCATTGCAAAGCTGCGCGCTCGGGCTCCACGGGCGCCCTGCGAGGTGCGCGCTGCGTTCTCGTTTCACGGGCAGAGAGACGAAGTCACTTGTCCAAGGTCATGCAGCTGGTAAGTGGGAGCGCCCAGCATGGAACCCAGGACCGCCCGGCTGCCGAGCCCGCGTTCCACCCTCCTTGCCGCTGCCGCCTCCTGCGGGAGGGGGAGGTGGTCGGGAGGGCGTATCGAAGGGGCAGGCTGGGCTCCAGGCTGGGCACGACCACTAACCCGATTCGTGACCTCGGGCTTAACCCCTTTTCCTCTCGGGGCCTTGGTTTCTCCACCTGTGAAATCGAGGTAGCGCCAGCCCTGCCTACCACCTCCGAGGCGCGTACGGAGCATCAGAGGTGATACGTGGTGCATGTGGACTTGCTTTGTAAATATCCCCGTGCTGAGCACACCAAGGTGCTGTTTCAGAGGCTGGAAGGAGGCGAGAGAGGGGCGGGGTGGGGAAGAAGACTAGAGCAGTCACAAGGAAGGGGGAGCACGAGTGGGCTGCTCTGACCCCGGGGCCCTCTGAATGGGGAGTGAGGTCAGGAGTAGGTAGCCGGTTTTTCTCCCCTTTGGAGAAAACCTCACCCCCTTCTCTGGGCTGCCCCTCAGGGTCTCCATCACCCAACTCCATGCTTCGAGTCCTGCTCTCTGCCCAGGCCTCCGCTGCTCGGCTGTCTGGCCTGCTGCTGCTCCCGCCAGTACAGCCCTGCTGTCTGGGGCCCAGCAAGTGGGGGGACCGGCCTCCTGGAGGAGGCCTCCACGCAGGCCCTGTGCAAGGGCTACAGCGGCTTCTGGAACAGGCGAGGAGCCCTGGGGAGCTGCTGCGTTGGCTGGGCCAGAACCCCACCAAGGTGCGCGCCCATCACTACCCTGTGGCACTTCGTCGTCTGGGCCAGCTCTTGGGGTCTCAGCCACGGCCCCCTCCCGTGGAGCAGGCCACACTACAGGACTTGAGTCAGCTCATCATCCGAAACTGCCCCTCCTTTGATATTCACACCATCCACGTGTGTCTGCACCTTGCAGTCTTACTTGGTGAGGAGGGTGTCTGGGGGGTGGGTGTTAACGGAAGAATAGAGAAAGAGCATAGAAGACCCAAGATCACTGACAGAATTCACCTCTCAGGCTTTGCCAGGAATGGTGCATCCCCTGGCACACTTGGTGCTGCTCCCCTGTATCCACAGCAGACAGCAGGAGTCCAGCAGCATTCGCTCCAGCTTAGCTAGGGGTGCCAACCCTGATTCCTTCCAACACGGTGCTCTAGAAAGCCACTACTGTTTGTCACCGTTGGCGTGCAATGAGAGCTTATTTGCCATGTTTGTATCAGGCCTTCCCCGCAGACTGTTGTGATACCTCACGTGCACGTGGTATTTCACATTTCTCCAGTGCTTCTGCTTACACTGTAGCAACCCTTCCATCCAGAACATGGAGACGTGAAAGGTTGGGAATTCACCAACTGACCCCCATGACTGGAACAGAGCAGTTCCCCGTTACCAGGCCTGCCTCCTCTGACCCTCTCCCTCTCAGGCTTCCCATCAGATGGGCCCCTGATGTGTGCCCTGGAGCAGGAGAGAAGGTTCCGCCTCCCTCCGAAGCCACCTCCCACTCTGCAACCTGGCCTGCGCAGCGGGCAGAGATTGGAAGCTGCTCTGAGCTGCCCTCGTTTCCTGAGGCGTCCGCAGCAGCACCTCATCCGCAGCCTGGCAGGTGCTGGAGGGGACTGAAGGCAGGTGGCGGGAGGGGCTGAAGAGGAGACAGGTGGTGGTGTCTGGGCCGAGGTGGAATCTAGCTGAGATCTGGCCTGAGGGTCCAGCATAATAGGCTGTTCTTCACAGAGGCCAGGCCAGAGGAACTGACTCCCCACGTGATGGTGCTCCTGGCCCAGCACCTGGCCCGGCACCGGTTGCGGGAGCCCCAGCTTCTGGAAGCCATTGCCCACTTCCTGGTGGTCCAGGAAGCCCAGCTCAGCAGCAAGGTGGGATTACCTCCCACCCTGCCATGCTCCTCTCCTAGCCCTCCTCGGTGTCAGGCCCGGCCCCCTGTTCAGCTTGATTGGCTGCCTCCTGCAGCAGACAACCAGCCAGGCTCTCTGCTCTGTCCCCCCGGGGTTTCATCTTCGCTCACCCCCACCTGGCTTGTCCACCTACCCAGCGTGTATGCCTGGTTCTCTGCAGTTCTCCGCACTCGGCGCTGTCTTAGCTTCGTTGAGCCCACTCCTCTAAGTCTTCAGGGCCAGACCCCACAGCGATGTCTCCTCCACTGGTTTGATTAATCACATGGGGCTCAAGACACTGGTTATGCTGTCGAACTTCTGGTGTGTACGTCGGGGTAGAGGGATTGTTCTGCCTTTACAGAGACATTAGAAGCTTGCAGGCCAAGCCTCCCTGAGGTTCAGCTTGTGAAGGATATTGGAGAACTGTTTCGTGCTGGGTGAAGGGCTACTCTTCCTCCACAGGTGGTACAGAAGTTGGTGCTGCCCTTTGGGCGGCTGAACTACTTGCCCCTGGAACAGCAGTTTATGCCCTGCCTTGAGAGGATCCTGGCTCGGGAAGCAGGGGTGGCTCCCCTGGCTACTGTCAACATCTTGATGTCACTGTGCCAGCTTCGGTGCCTGCCCTTCAGAGCCCTGCACTTTGTCTTTTCCCCAAGTTTCATCAACCACGTCAGCGGTGCGCGGCCGGGAGGGCTGGCTGGGGCCCCTTGGGGCCAGCAGGCAGGGGAAAGTGGGGGTGGGAGCCTGCAGCCCCGCGAGCCTCAGTCCTGCTTTCCCACAGGCACCCCTCATGCCCTGATTGTGCGGCGCTACCTCTCCCTGCTAGACACGGCCGTGGAGCTGGAGCTTCCAGGATACCGGGGTCCCCGCCTTCCCCGAAGGCAGCAAGTGCCCATCTTCCCCCAGCCACTCATCACTGACCGTGCCCGCTGCAAGTACAGGTGGATGGGGCGGCTTGGGGGAGGGGAGGGGACGAGCCTGCGGGAAGCACAGAGTAGAAAAGCCAGGGGGACCCTGAACTGTCCGTGCTGACGCACTCTTAGCAGTAAGAGGAAAAAAAAACAAAAAACAAAAAAACGGGCCTTGGGACATTAAAGGCATTTGCCCGGGGTCGAGCCTCCTGAGCCTTTCCCTATCGGTGTTTGCTCCCCCTCCCGCCTCAGTCACAAGGATATAGTGGCGGAGGGGCTGCGCCAGCTGCTAGGGGAAGAGAAGTACCGACAGGACCTGACCGTGCCTCCAGGCTACTGCACAGGTGATTCCCCGCGGGCGGGTGGCCGGCGGCCGGGACGCAGAGCCTTGGCTAGAAGCCAGTGGCCCTTTCTCTTGCCCTTCCAGACTTCCTGCTGTGTGTCAGCAGCTCTGGTGCTGTGCTTCCCGTGAGGACCCAGGACCCCTTCCTACCCTACCCTCCCAGGTCCTGTCCCCAGGGCCAGGCTGCCTCTCAGCCCACCACCCACGACCCTGCCCAGAGGTAAGGGAAGAGGGCGGGAGAGCCTCCCTGCCTCTGTGGACACCACCCTGAGCCATGGTCCGCCCCCTCCAGGGTGGTGCTGATGCTGCGGGAACGTTGGCATTTCTGCCGGGACGGCCGAGTGCTGCTGGGCTCCCGGGCCCTACGGGAGCGGCACCTGGGCCTGCTGGGCTACCAGCTCCTGCCGGTGAGAGCAGCCCCCCGCCCCGCCCTGGGAGAGGTGCCACGCCATCCTGCTGCCCCTCCGCCCAGGCCACAGACCCTGGGGGTAACCTGCTGCTCCCCTCCCCTGCAGCTACCTTTCGAGGAACTGGAGTCACAGAGAGGCCTGCCCCAGCTCAAGAGCTACCTGAGGCAGAAGCTCCAGGCCTTGGGCCTCCGCTGGGGGCCGGAAGGGGGGTGAGGGGGGTGCACATGGGGCTCAGGATGACCCCCCCCAATGGGGGGGTGGGCAGTTTGCACTTTGGCTCTCTATATTTTGGTTTCTCATTAAAGTCCCTTTCCTTCCCCATCGTGCATCTCGTTTCTGGGACAGGGAGCGGGCTGCCCCCCCCCCTTTTCCATCCACGCTTCCTCCCCATACAGAGACAGAAGGCCAGGGGTAGGTGGGGGCTGAAGCACTTTACTGGTGGGGGAGTGGGGATGGTATGGGGACTTTAAATTATTCACTTAAATAAAAACGAGGGCGGGGATGGAGAGAGCACCCCCAGCCCCTGCTCCCTCCGTCCATCTGTCCCTTGGCTGTCGGTCCAGGCAGCCACTACACAGGCATGGGCATCTCGTTGTACTCGTCCACACCCTCCCGTTCATCGAACACTGGCTCCGCCTCATTAGCATCCAGCTGTGGGGGCGGAGGGGTCAAGAAGGTTGATGCTGACCTCAGCCTGGGTGGGGGCCAGCGGGGCTGGGGGGAGGGGCAGGAGGCCTTACACATTTCATCTCTCGCTCGGTGAAGATGCGGGTGAGCACCACCATGCGGAGGGGCACCGTGAGGATGAGGATGAAGGGGAAGGCCAGGGAGGCAGCTGTGGACATGACAGCCCAGAGCAGGGCCAAGCAGAGCAGCTGCAGGGCTGTGAACAGGTGCATTCGGAGGGTCCGAACCTGGGGGTGGGTGGCATAAGACAGGTGAGCCGAGGCTTCTCCCCAGCATTGGAGGAGATGGTCTCTTGCAGGGCCATCTGGGCCTGCCACTTCCAGAAGATGGGTGACCCTTTCTCCCTCCACGGGGATGGGGGCAGCAGTGCCTTTTTGGGTGCTTACCAGAGCCAGCTCCGCACAGACTAAACAGCGGCTGAACACAGAGGGCAGCTGGGGGACTGGAGAGTGACCCCCGCAGACCAGGATGGGGCAGAGGCATGGGGCTCTTCCAAGTGGGGTCTTACCTTCTTGACGTAGGTCACGTCTGGGTGGTGTTTGGGGGGCATGAGCAGCAGGTGCAGCCGCTCGTAGAACTGGATCCCGTTAAGGGAGGTAACTCCCATATACAGAAAAATTCCAAAGAGCACAGCCAGGGGTATCTGCCGGAGCAGATCCCCGATAACCAAGGAGAGACCTGGGGTGGGGAGAGGGAGAAACAGCTGGCCCCAGGGCTCCCCACCCCCAGAGACCGCCCCGGGGAAGGGTGGAGCAAGAGGTCAACGTACCTACAAGCAGGGCAACCAGCAGGCCTGTTACGCGCTGCTCCTTGACCTCCTGGATCTTGGGCTTGTCCCCGGGCGCCACAGCCTTGCTCATGACGGTAAGCGCGTTGGCGTGAGTGACAGAGCGCACGGTGGCAGCAGCCAGCCAGGGCAGGCCAAAGAGGGCACAGATGCCGCCCATGGCCACAATGAGCAGCAGGTCCAGGTGGAAGCCGGAACCCTTCTGCAGCATGCGCTCCTTCTTGGAGATGATCAGCCTGAGTGGGACAGGCACTCCCTGATGCCCATGGCCCTGGGCCCAGCTGGGCAGACAACTTTGTCTTTCCAGAGCATCCAGCCAGGAGCCTCTGTCTGCTTTCGGAACCTGGCGGTCGGGCCCTGCCCAGTCCATCAGGACGAGAGTTCTGTCATGGGGCGAGACCCTCTCCATGCTGCCCTCCCTGCCCTTCAGGACAGGTTCAGGCCTCTACTGTGCCCGTCCCAGCAAACGTCAGGGGAACGTTCTACCGCCTACAGAATGAATCCTAGGGGCACCTGGGTGGTGCTACTGGTTAAACGTCCAACTCTTGGTTTCGGCTCCGGTCGTGATCCCAGGGTCACAAGATCAAGCTCAGCACGGAGAGTCGGCTTGAGATTCTCTCCCTCTCCCCCTCTCAAACAAATAAATAAATGTTTAAAAACAAATTCTAGGGGCCAGCCTGGCATCCTGGGCTTCCCTCACCCAGTGCACCCATATCTCCTCGCCTCGCTGGGGCTCCAGCCCTTCCACAAACATCATTCCTGTCTGCAGAGCACCCCCCTCGGCTAGGACCACTCACGTGGTGATCTGCGTCTCCATGAAAATCAGGATGAAAACCAGGATGGCAGGCAGCAGGCTGGCAACCATCATCCACACGGGGAAGGAGCTGTTCTCCCCCAGAGGGTTGATGACCCAGCCCCGCTTTTCTGGGGCTGTCACGGAGACTCCACTGGGCACGCTCAGCTTCTGTAGGGCAGAGGGTGGGGCCAGGGGCCGGTGAACGGTGGAGGGGGAGCCCTGAGGTGCACTGGGCAGGCCAAGCACCGAGGGCGTGCTGTGGGAAGAGGCCTGGTGCCTGCGCAGTTGAGAGGCAGCTCTGTGGTTGGGCTGGAGGGGACTATCCAGAGCCCGGCGCCAGGCGGCATCTCCACCACTGCCTGCGCCCCACCTTACCTGGGTATAGGTGTCCTCAATACTGTAATCCACAAGCACCATGATGAGGATCGCGATGGGCACCCCAAAGTCCCCAATCACCCGCCGCACCTGTGGGCAAGCACCGTGCTCAGAGGCCCCCTGCCCCGCTCTGGCCCAGACTCAGCCACCCTTTCCGGCCGGTTTTCCCCTCCACCTCAGGCATCTCAGCCCACACACCCGGCCAGGGAAGAACCGGCTATTCTTGAACTTGCGCAGGAAGAAAGCGATAAAGAAGGTGCCGGCCATGAGCACCAGTGACAGCAGGGCGGTGTTGGGCTGGCCCCGGGGCCTCCCCTGCCCAGCTGGCCCCGGGGAGCTCCCATTCCCCGGCCCCAGCATGGATTCTGCCCCATGCCATGTGCTGTTCTCGTCGCTGTCCGCCTCAGAGCTGTTGGAGACCGAACAGCCGTGGAGTGGATGTTCCTGGAAGATCTAGGGAGAAGACAAAGGACTCCATCAGCCAAAGTGGAGAGATGTATGCTGAGTGGGGCAGGCAGGGGAGAAGATGACAGGTCTGGCCTTAAGGAGCTTGTTTTTTGGTTTTTTGTTTTAATTTTATTTATTTATTTGACACAGAGAGAGAGCACGAGGAGGGGGAGGGGTAGAGGGAGAGGAAGAAGCAGACTCCCCACAGAGCAGGGAATCTGACGCGGCGGGGCTCGATCCCAGGACCCTTAGATCATGATCTGAGCCGAAGGGGGACACTTCACCGACTGAGGGACCCAGGTGCCCCGGGGCTTGTCTTGTTGATCAAGAAAATGACTGGTGACCAGATGGGAGCAAGGGAAATGGGATTCAGGCAGCTGGGGGCGTGGCTGCAGCCAGGCCTGGACCAAGGGGGCATGTCCTCTCCTAAGCCTGACAGGGGCACAGCTCTGAGGACCAGACTGTGACTATGTGTCACCTCGGGGGCCTTTCTCTTTGATACTTCTAGATTGTCTGCCACTTTAACAAAAGGACATATTACCTTTGTTGTTAAAAATATGAGTTTCTAAGACTGACCTGAAGTCCTGGGACGTGTGTTGGTGACAGGGAGGGTGGAGAGGGGCCGGGAGGAAGAACCAGCCCGTGCTCCGTGGGCTCCTTGGACTGCCGCCCAGGGGAGCTCTGGGCTAGCCTGGGACCTCCTACCCCGAAGTGAGAGTGCGAGAGGGGCAGAAGGCGCCCCGGCTTGCTCCGGAGGTCTCACCCCTCCTGACCCCAGCTCTCAGCAGGGCCTGCTCACCTTAACCAGCTTGTAGAACGTCTCATAGATGAAGATGAGGGAGATGAGGAAGGCAAAGATCTCCTGGGTGAAACGGGAGACAAAGCGCACCAGGAAGCTCCCTTCCAGGGCCACCATGAGCAGGGCCAGGAGCACCAGCCAGAAGCCGATCCACACGCGGCCCACCAGGTACTCTAGGTTGTTGCTGCTGCAGAACTGGGAGGGCATCCAGTCAGGTTCCAGAGCCCGGGGGCTAGCAAAGTGGGCATGTTTGGGGAACAGGAGGGGCAGCTGGAGCAGGGCAGGAAGAGCCAGCCCCCTACTAGCCTGTGGGCCCTTACCGAGAAAAAGGCCTCCTCAAAGACCAGCAGGGGCCCGGAGAAGCCGATCACCAGCAGCGGCTGGGCCCCCAGCAGGCAGAAGACCACACCCTGGAGTGCCGTGGACATGATCAGCTCCGACACCCCAATCAGGTCCTGAGTCTTCTCTCCTGGGATGGCAGGAAGCGGCTCAGGAGCTGGCAGCCAGGGCCCTGGGCATGCCCTGCCCCCCGCCCCCCGCCCCCCGCAGCCGCTCCTTACCCAGCAGCCCCCCAAAGGTGATGGCAGGAGACAGGGCGGCGAAGTAGATGAAGATGACAGCAGCCAGGCACTGGGGGTCGAGGGCGTCTCGGAAGTCACTCAGGTAGTGGGGGTAGCGGCGCCGCACATCTCGGATCAGGCCCCCAAAGGGCCGGCCCGTCCGCTGGAGGGGATCGTCTTCGACTGCACCTGCCACCTCTACCATCTGCAGGAGCGCTGCAACCCGGGCCTCCGTCAGGGCGCCCGCTGCGGCCCCTCGGCGCTCGGCCCCCTCCTCCACGTTCACGCAGACCACCCCGACCCCCGCCCCGGGCCCATGCTGGCCCGTACCCTTCTCTTGTGCTGACTTGGGCTCCAGCCCGGCCCCGGGGGGCAACAGGCGGCCCTGCTCCTCCCGCTTCTTGAGCATCTGGCGTTGGAAGTGAGCAACAGAGCGCAGCAGTTCCTCGCCCTGCACTTCCGAGGGTGGCAGCACCACGCTGCAGTCCAGGAAGGCATTGATGGCGGTCAGCAGGTCCTCCCGCTCGTCGGCCAGGTAGGCTGCCTCGTGGAATTGCTGCCAGAGCAGGCCCAGGGCTGGTGAGGGTGCGGCGCGAGGGCCGGGGCAGAGCACGGGGCGGGGGGCGGGCGTCCCGCGGGCACCGGGAGGGCCTGACCTTGTCAGACATGAGGGTGGAGATGGAGCGGCCGATCTCGTGGTAGTCCATGTTGGCGCTGCTCGGGCCCAGAAGCAGGAAGAGGAAGCGCACGGGCACGGGCACCTCCAGCACCGCGTCCAGCTCCACCGCCTCTCGTAGCCGTACAAAGGCCATGGTGGGGCGGGACAGGAACTCCACGCAGCCTAGGGGTAGGGCGCCATCATGGGCTAAGGGAGGTGCAGGCCGCCCCCCACCCCTGGGGGGCATCAAGGCAGGCCTGGCCGTCGCCACCCCCCCCACCGCCGCAAAACTTGCCCACATACCCACAAGGACCACTGTGGCCTCGGCGTTCTCGGGGATCTTCTCTAGGAGCTTCAGTTC